GGGAGGAGGGGGGATACAGGGTGGAGGGGATCAATAGGGGGAAAAGGGGACATCTATAATACTTTCAACAATAAAGATAAATTAAAATATTTTAAAACATAGAACAGGACAAAGAAACAAGAAAACATTATTTAATTAAAAAAAAAAAAAAAGTTGTCATATTAGAAAAGGAGCCACCAGGTGGTGGTATTGCTTCAGACTTAGTAGAATGAGATCAATTGGTCCAATTTATTAAAAGTTGAGTGGAAAATTTGATGCTTTTCAAATTTTATGGTTCAATAATAATTTACTGAATTTTAAAATGTGAATGTTTGAATGCAGTCCAAGCAAGTAAAACAATTGCAAAACACCTCTGACTACAAAGTCACAATAAGATCAAATAAGTTCAGAATTTTAAAGCTAGACGGAACCTCCATTCCAACCACCTCAACTGCAGATAAAGAAGTAGAAACTGACTAAGTGACAGAGCTAGAACAGCAACCCTGGTCATTTGGTTTCAAGGTCTGGAGTAACTAGATTATAATGCCTTCTGTAATTGAGCCATTTACCAAATGACCTATACTTTTGGTAAATTGATTTTCAAACACATGCCCATGCCTCAAGAATTAGCTGCAGCATAGAGGGGATAAATGGTGATGGGAAAAATTAAAGTTTAATTTAATTTTTAAAAAAAGCATTAGCCGCAGTTTCCAAAGTCAGAAATGTAAAATTTCTGTGTGATCCATTGCCTTGTGGAAGTTACATTCTTTTGCTCAATTTTTATTCCATGAAGCAGAAACCTATTAAACATAAGTATAAATATATAAGTGTAATAAAATAAGCTTCAAAAGGCTTGTCTTACTGTGAATAATTGTATTTTAAACTAAGGAGCATTTTTAAATTATAACAAGGTGTGTGATTTTCACAAATCAAAATATATAGTATTGTATTTCAAACGTTTCCTTTCAATAACATGTACTTTGCCAACTGAGCAGAATTTCTCTTTAGACTAAGGTTTTTCTGTTTTGTTTTTTTATCTTTATTGTTGAAAGTATTACAGATGTCCCTTTTCCTCCCCATTGATCCCCTCCACCCCGCATCCACCTCACCCCAGGCCTTCCCCATACTAATAATGTCTTGTCCATGGGTTATGCTTATAAACATATAAGGTCTTTGATTAATCTCTCCCCGCCCACTCCCCCACCCCCCATGTTTGATTTTTAATTGAGATATAATTCACATATAGGAAAATTCAGTTTTTAAGTGTACAATTCAGTGATTTTCAGTATATTCACAAGGTTTGTGACTGTCATTACCATCTAATTCCAAAACGTTCTCATCACCCCAAACAGAAACTCTGTGCCCATTAAGCAATAACACCCCACTCTCCCCTCCCCTAGCCTCTGGTAACCTCTAATGTACTTTCCATCACTATAAATTTGCTTATTCTAGATATTTCATATAAGCGGAATCACACAATATTTACCCCTTTGTGTTTGGTTTATTTTATATAGCATAATGTTTTTAATTTTCACCGACATAGCATGTGTCAGAACTTCATTCTTTTTTATGGCTGAATAATATTCTAATGTGTGGATATATAATTTTTTAAGTCATTCATCACTTGATGGACATTTGGGTTGTGCCCACTTTGGGGCTATTAGAATAACAATGCTATGAACATTTGTGTAGCAGTTCTTGTGGGAATATATGTTTTCAATTCTCTCTTGTATATGCCTAGGATTGGAATTGCTGGGTCATACGGTAACTCTAACTATTTGAGGAACTACCAAACTGTTTTCCACAGTGTCTGTATTGTTTGGTGGAACTGCTTCCCAGAATTTTACATTTGCACTGGCATTGTTTGAGGGTTTTTATTTCTCCACATCCTTACCAACATTCATTATTCACTTTTTAAATTATAGCCACTGTGGTGTGGAGTGGTTTTGATTTGAATTTTCCTGATGCCAAATGATGTTGAACATCTTTTCATGTGCTTATTGGCTATTTGTATATCTCCTTTGATGAAATGGCTATTCAAATTCTGTGCCCATTTTTTATTGTTACTTGTCTTTTTATTGTTGAATTCTTAAAGCTCTTTATATATTCTGGATACTAGACCCTTATCAGATACATGATTTACAAATACTCTTTCCTGTTCTGTGAGTTGTCTTTTCACTTTGTTGATAGTGTCCTTTGATGCACAAAAGTTTTTAATTTTGATGAAGTCCAATGTATCTATTTTTTTCTTTTGTAGCTTGTAATTTTGGTATCATATCTATGAAGCGATTGCTATTTAAGCTCATGAAGATGCACACCTATATTTTCTTTCACAAGTCTCATGGATTTTGCCCTTACATTTTTAGTTGGTTTTTGTACCTGGTATGAGGTAGGAATACAAATGCATTATTTTGCATGTTCCAGCACTATTTGCTGAAAGTATTCTCTCTATTAAATGTTTTGGCACCATTGTGAAAAATCAGTTGACCATAAATGTACAGATTTATTTCTGGGCCCTCATTTGTAATCCACAATGTATGTGTCTATCCTTATGCTAGTACCACACTGTCCTGTAGCTTTGTAGTAGGTTTTGAAATCAGAAAGCATGAGCTCTCCAACTTAATTCTTCTTTTTCGAGATTGCTTTGTCTATCCTGGGTCCCTTGCATTTCCATATGAATTTTAGGATCAGCTTGTTCATTTCTAGAGGAGAAAAAAAGGAGGCAGTTGGAATTTTGATACGGATTGCATTGACTCTGTAGATTAATTTGAGGAATGTTGTCATCTTAACAATATTAAGTCTTTCAATCCATGAGCAGGGGATGTCTTTCTATTTATTAAGGTCGTATTTGATTTTTTTCAACAAAGTTTTATAGTATTCGGTGTACAGATCTTGCACTTTGGTTAAACTTATTCCTGAGTATTTTGTCAGGAATAACCTTTTGAGACTAAAGGTTCTTAACCTGACGTCATACAAACCCATAGACATCTGGGAGCTTGCAAACCTACTGAAATTGTTTTCAGAATCTTATACCTGTATTTATGTGGATCCCCCCCTCAGAAAAACAGTCCAGAACTTCCATCAGATTCTCAAAGGATTTGTTTGTGACCCAAAAAGTTTAAGAATTATTCCTTTACACTGTGTTAAGTGCTTTTATTCTAAATGATATGTGTAGGGGGTTTTTCTTTCCCTTATACTAAAGATGGAGGATGTTTTCAGGTGTTAAATTTTTACAACAGGGTTTTAATTTCCTCTGAGGATGGTCCTGCCACCTACGGATGATATTTGTTTATTTTTAAAATTTAATCTTGAAAAATTAGTATGGGATTGCATAAAATAAAAATTAACAATTTAGATTTTTTAAAAACTTTTCATTATGAAAAACTCTAAACACACTAAGTATAATGCACACTTTCAAAATACTTTATTGAGGCCAGTTTCAGTGAACCTCCATGTGCGTAACACCCATCTGCAATAGTCATCAGCTTATGGCCATTGTTCATAGCCACTCTTGTTTCATAATTATGCCTACCATTTGCATCCACTCTCCCCACACTCACACACTAAATTCTTTGGAATCAGATGCCAACACTTGGGCTAATTCACTGTGGTTGGGGCAACTCACTATAGATACTTTCTAATACCATTATTTGTACCCTTGGAGTGGACGTGGCTGGCATTAATGACAGTATTAATGACTCCCCCTGTTATGGTCCTCATTGTTCTGAGAGCTGGAAAAGCAGGACTATATCTCAGATCCTCATTCAATAGGGAGAACTTCATAAGCCACAGTCACCCATGGGCTATGGTCTCCAATCTTTCATAGAGAATGCCCTCTTTACCAACCTAACCCCTTGCCCCCACCTCCTTCCTTTCCCCAAGGGCAAGACTGGCTTGTCTGTCTATCAGAGTTATTATACCCAAAGTGAGAGCTTCTCTCTCATTACTTTATTTCCTTCTAAATCTCATTCTAGAAGGGGTGGAATATTTCAATTATTTACTACTGTGTAACGCTACTCCAAACTGAGTGACTTGAAACAGCAGATGACTTGGAACAGCACAATCAATCCTGTTGACTTCCCAGTGATTGAAATGGGTTATTGGGAAGACAAAACATCCAATCAATGATTTCTTCAGCCCTGCTTTTCTCTTAAGCTCCAGTTCTGAATATCCAACTCCTTCCTAGAGAGTTCTTTATGGATATTCACTCAAGAGCTACATGTCTAAAACCAAATATCTCTCTCCCTGTAACTAAAAAGTAAAGCAAACAAAACCCCAGTAATCTGGTTCACTCTCCGAATTTCCCCATTTCTCCACTCAAGGATATGAGTCCTACCTTGCCTTACCGTAACCTCTGGGTTAATGCATACTTGCTTCTTTGGTCCTCCATCAACCTCACAGTGAGTGACCAAAGCCTATTCCTTTACCTTTATGTCTTAGTCTTGGACAGTAGCCCTTAACTGATCCATCTCTCTGTTTCTTTCCACCCCCAGATACCCAGAACATCTCCACTTTGCATGTACTAGGTATTCAATAAATGTTAACTGAATAAATCATGTTAATTTCTCTATTATAAACCTTTAAAACTCACTACAAAGATATTTATAATTGTTAGTCCCTTACTTTCCCAGAAGACTGAGCTCCTTAAGGGCAGAGCCTAACTTATCATTTTCTGTATCACCCAATGCTACCACATTGGAATTCAGTAAATGTTTGTTCCATTCATGAATGGATGAGGCCTGAGCTGCTTAACTTGGCATTCAAATACTTCCACCATCAGATCCAACTTACTGCCTCTCTCCTGTTTGGGCAAACGCTGTGAAATTGGGGAGAAAACTCACTGTTTCCAGGGGTGTCTGTAAAATGAGGTTTGCATTATCATCAGGGAAGCCATCCAGCCACACCCTGCTTCAGGTTCCTCTGGAAAATGAAGGATTGGCTGAGATTAAAGCTCCTCAGATTCTAATGTATGTACAAAGCTCCCAAAGACCTTGAACACGTGGAGTCAGATTTAGAGTCTGCATTTCTACAAGCTCCCCCAGGATGCTAATGTACTGGCCCAAAGACCACCCTTTGAATAATTATAAAGTTCTGTGCTCTACGATCTATTTATTGTCTTCTGGACTTGACTTCTACATGTCTTACGTGATAATGTTGTGTATATTGCTTCTCCTCCCTGGGGTGCTTTTTCCATTTATTTCCCCCTGTATGAATCAACCCATTTTTTCAGCCTCTTTCTCTTGGGCAAAGCCTTTCCTGAGTAATCTAGAGTCCTACTCATTGGTCTTTTTTCCTTCCTTTGAAGTTTCCATTGTTGGTGCTTGGAGTTTGACCCACCGCCCACAAGCAGGTATTGGTTATCGTTGCGTGTATGCAAGTGCCCGGTTATAAACTTCTTTTTCTTTCCTGTGAGGCTTAGCATAATATCCCACATAGAGTAAGTACTCAACAAATTGTTGTTGAATGAATGAATGAGTGATTCACTTCAGCATTTCTACTCCATACAGAAATCAAATGTTTTACTGTTCTGTGTCATCATATTCCAGAACATGGAGGAGAGTGCCAAATGGAATTTCCCCAGTCTACTCAAATGAGGCAGTCCAATTTAAACAATTTGATCTATTAAAAACTAATGATATTAAAATATCTAAAATGAGTTTATATTAAAATTCAAATTTTTCTCTTCAGTTTCTGAAACAATGAAATTTGCTACTGCTGTTTCTGTCCCACTTTCCAAAATGAAACATTCATATTTTATTATGCCTGAGAACCTGACAGAGTATCCAATAAAAGACTAATCCTATAGAATATGTCCTGGTATTATATCATGATTTCAATAGCCTGGTTAAACAACTTGCTTTACACCAAATACCATGTTGCATATCAAATAATGAAGTGAACTCCCTGCCTGGTGAAAAACAAAGAGTCTTTATTATTCATATAGAGAAGTTATTTTAAGTTTTAAAGTTAAAATAAGGAAGTGCTTTGAATATTGCCTAATTCACTATTGTGGGAAAAAAGTTAGAAGCATTTCAGAACATACCACCACCTATTTTGCATTAAATAATTTTTTTACCAACTTGCAGTATTTGTTTTATAAAGTAAACTTTAACCTAAATATCAATGTATCATTTTTGACAAGAGAAAAGAGCTGCATTGTATATTACCAAATTCTTGATAGGTGTTTTTAAGTTGTTAAACGGTAAGATCTTTTGGTAAACTGTGAAGCGCCAGCTCCACAAATATAAGGTATTTTCATCATTATCATGCATAAGGTATAACATTTCTGCAAAATGCTGAAAAATATAAGTTAAATGAGTGCACCAAGTAAATGTACTGTGCCATTTGAAGAGGAGATATGAAAACAGTGAATCTTTTTCTTAGTAGGTATTAGTAATTTAAGTCATCTTGTTTTATTTAAACTCCAAAAGATTTCCATTCTTAGTTTTCCCACCTCTGATGGAAACTTCTCCTCATAAAGTAAAAAAAAAAGTGAAAATTCTCAGAAAACAGACATTAACACCAATTTTTTATTAATCTTTAGTTCCCTAGCCCCTGATAAAGTCATTGTCGGGGGAGGTTATTTTTAATAGTTCAGGTTCTGCAAAGCTCTCTGTCACCTCCTAATCAGAGTTCATCAGAATGGAGCAATGCAGAATGTAGAACTGGTAGCGACCAAAAGGACTAAGCAGACGTGGCATTTTATAGATTGTTAGACCTGGAAGAACCTGGGCAATCATCTGGGCCAGGTTACTTGTTTTACTAGCGGGGACACTGTGGCCCTGAGGTCACCCAGCTCATTAGAGTTAAGCTTAAACTACTCTCTCCCTTCAGGCCATGGTTCTTTCCACCTTGATACGTGACGTGACATCTGGGAAAACTAGCAAGAGCATCGAGAAAGACAAGCAGAGGGAGCAGGGAGCAGAGTCCCTTTCGGACGGGCCGGAAGCCCTGCCATTCAATCCCCACCCACTCAGCTCTCGGGGGCTGCCATCCTTGGGAGACCTCAACTTCAGCCAGCAACTAGAAACCACGAGATTGGCACCTACACAAATGGAACTTCTCTAAGTGTGTTTTATTGTCTGTCACTGGGTGTCCGCATTGTTTGAAAAGGAAAACAAACGCTGACTTTTATTCCATGAACCGCCACTGTTGTGTGCTCTTCATTTTCATCCTGTGCACTTTCTAACGATAACATTTATCAAGCGCTTACTTTGGGTCGGTCGGTCAGGGGGCTAATCACTTCAACTGCCTTCCTTCCTTTGATTTTTATAAGCAACCCTAAAAAGTAGATACTATTACTCTCCCACACTTTAAAGACAATGAAATGGAAGCTTACGTGGGTTAAGTAATTTACCAAAGTGCATAGCTAGCCAGGGGCAGAGCTAAGATTGGCCCCCAAGCTGTTTGACATCAGAACCAGACCCCCTAAGCACGATTGCTGCGCTCTGCATCCGAGAAAGAAACTAGGCTACCGATAATAAGGAAATTCCTTATTTAAAAAGGCATAGGTATAAAGGAAAACTGAAAATATCTACATCATATTCTAAATGATGTGTTCTTTTCCTCTTATTTGGGATAGAGAGTAATGCTCAATATGAGAAAGTTCAGACTAACTTACCAGTCATTTTCAATTTTGGTTTTATGTTTTGTAATGCGTGTTTTTTTTTTAAGTTTTATATAATAAATAATATGCTCATAATTATAAGTATCTATTTTATATATATACATGTAATATATATGTATAGAGAAGAAATTCAAACAATACAAAAGGGCAAAGAATGAAGTCTCTCACCCACACTGACTTCCGCACCAAGTCACCTTAGAATTAATCAATATAAATGGCCCTGTGTATTCTTCTAAATGTATTCTATGTATATGCATATATATGTAAGTTTCCTTTAATATAGATAATAGTATAATCTTTATACTGTTCTGCATCTTTTTATACTTAACAACAATATATTTTGGCAAATATTCTATATCAATACATGTATATTTACCTCATTCTTTAAAATTTTTTTTTTTAAATATATCTATTGATTTCAGAGAGAGGGAAGGAGAGGGAGAGATAGAAACATCAGTGATGAGAGTCATTGATCAGCTGCCTCCTGCACGCCCCCTACTGGGGATCGAACCCGCAACCCGGGTATGTGCCCTGACTGGGAATCGAACCAAGGTCTCCTGGATCCTAGGT